AAATAATCTAATTTTAAAATGGGCAGAAGACATAAATACACATTTTCTCCAAAGAAGACATACAGATCACCAACAGACAAATGAAAAGATGCTCAACATCACTCATCATCAGGGAAGTGCAAGTCAAAACTATGATGAGATGTCATCTCACACCTGTCAGAACGGCTAAAATCAGCAACACAAGGAACAACAAGTGTTGGCGAGGATGTAGAGTAAACGCAACCCTCTTCCACTGTTGGTGGGAATGCTGACTGGGCAGCTACTATGGAAAATAATATGGAGGTTCCTCAAAAAGTTAAAAATAGAAATACCCTATGATTCAGTAATTTCGCTACTGGGTATTTATCCAAAGAATACAAGAACACTAATTTAGAGGAATACATGCACCTCTGTTTGTAGGAGCATTATTTATAATAGTCAAGTTATGGAAGCAGCCCAAGTGTCCATCGATAGATGAATGGATAAAGAAAATGTGATACACATACACACATGAATATTATTGAGCCGTAAAAAAGAATGAAATCTTGCCATTTTCAGTGACATGGATGAATACTTAGAAAGTATTATGCTAAGAATTTAAACAAATGAGCAAAGGAAAAAGAGAAACTAAGAAACAGCCACCTCACTATAGAGAATAAACTGATGGTTACCAGAGGGGAAGTGGGTAGGGGGTTAAGAAGTGCACTTATCGGGGCACCTGGGTGGCTCAGTGGGTTAAAGCCTCTGCCTTTGGCTCAGGTCATGATCTCAGGGTCCTGGGATCGAGCCCCACATCGGGCTCTCTGCTCAGCGGGGAACCTGCTCCCCTTCCTCTCTCTCTGCCTGCCTCTCTGCCTACCTGTGATCTCTGTCTGTCAAATAAATAAAATCTTAAAAAAAAAAAAAAAAAGAAGTGCACTTATCATGAGTCCTGGGTAATGTGTGGAACTTTTGGATCACTGTATTGTGTTTCAGGTGAAACTAAATAACACTAAGTTAACAATACTGGAATTAAAACAAAAACTTTATTAAAAATAAGTAAAAATAAAAAATAATGATTTTTAGGGTTTTCTTTAATAATCATGTTCAATAGTAGAAATGGTTATAAATACAGGTAAGTTAAAAAGAAAGCTGTCAGATAACATTTTGCATTTAGATGACTGTGAGTATGTACTTACACAGATGTGTTCATAGAGGACCATGTGATAGACTGTTTAAGCTGCTGTCCCCAAAAAAATTTATGTTGAAGCCCTACCCCCCAGAGTGCTAATTTGAAGATAGGACCTTTACAGAGGGAATTAAGATTATATGAGATCGTAAGAGTAGGACCTTCATCAGATAGGATAAATGTCCTGAGAAGAAGAGACTCTAGGGATCTCGGTGTCTCTCCCAAGAGAGACAGAGGAAAGCTGGCATGAGGCACAGTGAGGTGGGTCTGCCAGCCTCGCAGTGAATCTGCTGGCACCTTGATCTTGGACTTCCCAGCCTCCAGAGCTGGGAGACAGAGTGTTTAAACACCCAGTCTGTGGTATTTCAACGTAACAGCCCACCTAAGACGAAGTACAAAAACTCCCATGAGCACCTCAGAAAAAGATACACCCAAAGGCGCAGAAGTATGTTTTCCTCTGAAAACCTACAGGTATGTGCGCCATTGTACTATAGCATCTCATTTTTCGTGAATTAACCACCTATTTGCTCTACTGTACTTACTTCTTGAGTTGTTTTTTCCTTAACACCAGTAACTCCCGTCGGGTGTGACAAATACCAATCATAGTGAGTACTGAAATTGCTGGTAAGAAGGAGCCCACGATTAGGATATGGATGGTGAATTTTAAAAATAGTAAATACATGTCCTAGGTACATCCTAGGTACATCCTAGCTGGCTCATCCTCATAGGGAGAGTTGAGGTGGCCCGTGCAGAGAGTGGGCTGCTCAGGACTTCCCAGCTGCTTTGCAGGCATCTCCCTCAGCAGGTCTTCCCCTTACCACTGCCCAGGCCAATGTGTACTAGCAGAAAGGATGTGAGAGTACCTGGTTCCAGCACGATCAAAGGGCCACTCAGCCTCCTGGTAAGGGGGCCAGGTACCTGGGATCGTACACTGACCCCTTTTGGTCACTTGAGTCTGTGAAGAAATGTACTTAGAAAAGGCCTTTGGATCCTAACCTGCTTGTTAATAATATACATGTGTGGCATTTACCTGTATTGCTATACGCGCGTTCACTTGTATGTACATCTGTGTCTTATATGGATCTGTGTACATATGATTCCACTTCCATAAGCTTGTGTACACACACACACACACACACACACTCTCACTGACATACATTGTTTGATAATGTGCTTTTTGCAAATACATCTACTCTTTCCATGTCATTATGTATTCTCTGTATTGTCAAAATAAATGATACCGGGGCGCCTGGGTGGCTCAGTGGGTTAAGCCTCTGCCTTCGGCTCAGGTCGTGATCCCGGGGTGCTGGGATCGAGCCCCGCATCGGGCTCTCTGCTCAGTGGGGAGCCTGCTTCCTCCTCTCTCTCTGCCTGCCTCTCTGCCTACTTGTGATCTCTCTCTCTGTCCAATAAATAAATAAAATCTTTAAAAAAAAAATAAATGATACCACAGCATTCCTTTGTATGGATTTTTACTCATTTATTTCATCGCTCGTATTATCAAAGGATTTCTTCTGGCTACTTCAGGAGCATCCTTACAGCCAAGCTGTGTGCAATCTGTCATTTTTTGTTAACTGGATCTTCACAGGTACCCACTGACGATTCAGACTTTGCATGGTCCAGGAGCAACAGGGCCGCAGGCTTTTTCCCACTTTTTGTTTTTTGTAAATGCATGTGCAGGTTGAAGGGTTGGAATGGGTGTTACGGACGTGGTGTTAAAAACCACTCAGCCCTGGCTGATCACCTTGGGCAGTGTGTCTCAAGTTCTCTGGGTCTTCATTCCCCATCTGTAACTTGAGTCTCTGGCACGTGATTTGTATGGTTGTTGATGTAGTAACAGGCGTACGGAGTGGCTGGTATTTCGTAGCCCCTAAGTCAGTGTTTGAACAACTTGGCGGGGGTGGGGTGGGGAGAAGAATGTCGTGCTGATGGGGTCCCGCAGTTCTAGGGGATGACAAAGTGTGCATAGTAGATACTGCTATTCATTGATGGTTTATGCCTCTGCTCCTTTAGTCAGGACAGCTGGCTTCCTGGGTGTGTGACTCGTGCGTCTGCACAGGGCCTTGCACATGATTTAGTGGTCTGCCCTTGCTGTCTAGAAATCTTTAATCTTGAACAGAAGCTCCATATTTTCATTTCACATTGGGACCCGCAGGTTCTGTAGCCAGTCCCCCCTGAAAGGCTGTTGGCAGTGTGACATGAGAGCTCACAAAGCACGTGTCATAGTTAGGATGTAATAGGGCTCAGGCACCATGAGAAGGATATAGTCATTTTTTTTAATGAGCAGAAATGACTATGGTAAGTGCATTCATTTAATAAACATGTGAGATAAATACAGAGTTACTTTAGGAGAGAGTAAGAAACTGAGGCTCCAGAAGCTTAATCACCAACTAATAATAATAACTATTAAATGCAGAACTTCGATTCAAACCCAAGTCTGTGTCCCCCAAAGCCCACACCACTGACCTGCCCTGTGAAGTATTAGTTTCCTCCCTCCCTCCCTTTCTTCCTCCCTTCTTCCTTCCCAAGGAACCTCTCTGTCAAACTCAGTATGTTTAAGTGTTCTTGATATTCATCAGCAGCCCAGCCCTCATCCCCAGCAGAGGTTGATGTAGAGCCCCTCAGAGATGGTGTAGAATTCCTGCCAGACCCCGGAACTTTGGGGGCTACAGCGGACAGTAAAGACCCTTCCTCTTGTCAGTACTGTTCTGCCATGTCTCCAAGCCTGCTCAGAATTCCATTATCTGGTCCAGTCTAGCCAACCCAGTGACAATTCAGCTTGTTGCCTTTGATTCCTGATAGGCTTAGCCTGGGATGACCAACATCCAGCTGAACCTCCAGACTGCCATGAGAATCATTAGGAGATCTGCCTGTTTCAGGTCTTGGGAAAGAGGCTGTGGGAGATGCCTATTGCCAGTAAACTGAGAACATGACCATCTGTCCTGTGGCAGGGATCCCTTGCTTGCCTGCAGTGCCAGGTCATGATTTGCTCTGCCCACTCTTCTCTGCGAGACTGAGAGAGAGAGAGAGAGAGAGAGAGAGGAGAGGAGAGGAGAGGAGAGGAGAGGGAGGGAGGAAGGGAGGAAGAGAAAGGATCCATTCCACTACACTGCTAATAAGCAAGCGTATAGTGTGGTGTGGGGAAGCTTCAGTGCAAGTTTGCTTATGGTGGCCTTCTAGCTGGAAAGTTAATACTTGAGCATTTCATCTCTCAGAGAGCTGGATTTGAATGTCGAACGTGACAATGAGACTGTTTGTTGTTTCAAAGCAATTCCCTAAGTGGCTGTTTGCTGAAGACTTTTGTAGTGTGAACAGAGATTTGGGGGAGGGGAAGAAGCCATCTGCTCTGCAATAGTCTTCCAATTACATGATCAAATTACTGCAGAGCAAAATGGAAGGAGTCCAACAGAAAGTTCCCGTCTGGTGTATCCAGCCCCAACCTGCTCCCTTGGGCCATTGTGTTCATGTGGAGATTCACATGCAGGTTTCAAAGGCAAGGCCATGATCGCCAAGAGTGTGAGTAGGAGAGCAGAGAGAGCCAAGGAGGAGAGTCAGGGTGAGCTTTCTTGCTGCGTCAACATGCCATTCAGGCAAGTGAAACAATCTTGGATTTGAATTAAAAAGTGAACTTCTGGAGAAACTTAGTTACATCCCTTTATAAATTAATTTGGTGATTTTTATTTGCTGATAACTGTAGCTTTGTAAATCTAATTCTTTCCTTTAAAATAGGAGAACAGTTTTCTTGTTTTTGAAATATGGACTGTCTTGATTTGCAAAACATTTTCGAGTCTTATTTTTTCTTCTAAATATGTGTGTGTGTGTGTGTGTTTTTTCCCCTTTCTTTTGCTATTAGGCATTCATGCAGCCTCACTTGCTGGGAAATGAGTTCACACATTTGGAGTTTCCAAGGAGAGTACAGAGAAAGGAGCTTGGAAAGAAGATGCTCTACAGGGACTTTAATATGACAGGCTGGTAAGAACACGCCTCCCTCTGCCTCGGCACTGCCACGGTATGTGTGAGGGATGCATCACCACTGTCAAAAGCCATTTATGCAGTTTGGAGCAGGTAGTGCAGCCGGAGACCTGGCTGGTGGTGAAGGAATAGGAGCTGTGTCCACTTCTGCTGTTGGTGCCTGGACGCCAGTCCTCAGATCACGGGGCTGGTTTGCCTCAGTGCTGTTCCGAGGCCCTCCCTGGGGACACGAGACCCCACGAAGCTGACAAAATTCCTCGCTTCAGATGAGCAAGCATTTTTGAGGCTTTTAAAACTCATTTAAGTTGGTTTTTAGGTCAGCGGCTCTAAGAAATGGGCTAACAGCCTACTGAGCCCGACTAGCATGGATATGAATCCTAACTCTACAATCTTTCTAAATAGGCAACGTTGGATAAACCGCTTAACCCCTGGGAGCCTAATTTTCCAAGAATAAAGTGGAAAGTATTTGCTCTTAAGGGGTTGTTGTAAGGACTGGAGGTAATGACCCATCTGCATTATTTCTTCACATTCACAGCGAGATGAGAGTCTTGGCCGAGGGTTGTCTTCCTCCCACAGCACACCTATGGAAACACCATGTCTATCTCTGGAGTGGGTCAGTGGCTAACACGGACTCAGACCTCCTGTGCTTCTTCCGTATGAAAAATAGATACGGTGTAAAGTACATCTGCATCATAAGACTGCTGGAAGGACTAAATGAGAGTGTGCAGGGCCTAGGATATGGAAGTGTGGGTGAAGGTTTGCTGTTAGCCCCGAGGTAGTGAGCCCTGACCCTCCTTGCGGTCTGGAGGAAAGCAGGAGGTTGAGACAGGGGACTCTTCCCTTGGCATATCTCCAGCCTCGGCACAAAAGTAATTTCCATTTCCTCTTCTTCATTGACCAAAATAGTCCTAACAGATGGTCACAGCCCAAATTCTCGTGGTGGTGACTTCTGGGCTGGGAATGTACTCCTAGGCTGGGAATGCACACCTAGGGAAGATAAGGGGCTGATCTGAGGCACTTCCAATTGTCCTTTACCATCTAAAAGAGAAGATTTTCACCACTATCCACTCTTCTTCTAGTGCAGGGTCAGCAAACTATGGCCCCAAAGCCAAATTCTACCCACGGCCCCTTTCTGTAAGTAATTGTTTTTAGTCCCATCATATTCATTTGTATACATTTGATCTTTGGCTACCCTCACTCTACAGCAAGGTGGTTGAGTAGTTGGAACAGAGACTGTATGACCCACAAAGCGTAAAAATATTTACCCCTGTTCTAAAACATGAATGGATGTTGCAGAAAGGGTTCACCCTATTTGCAGCTCTGAGGGTCTGGAGTTTTGGTGCCCCAAAATCATTATCCTTACCTGGCTGGGTTGTCTTTTTAAGTTCATTTGTTTTGAATCAGCAAAATCAGCACTTGTCACAGAAAAATTTAAGGTGAGGGCTACTCTAGTTGGAAAAGTGTGGTGGGGTTTTGTTTGGGGTTTGCAGAGTTTAGAATGATGGAAGGAAAGATGTCCTAGTTTAGGAATCCCCATGATTGCAAACACATAAACAAAAAAAGTGGATCTGCAAGACAGTGAGAAAGATGGCCAAAAAGAGAGCATCTGTGGGAAATCAGACTGAGTCGGTATCAAGGAAACATAGCCGAGGATAAGGGAAGCCATTCAGAGAAATACATTTACTGTGGGAGGCTGCGGGTTGTGCTGATATGTTTCTGAGGAGAATGAATGTTGAAAGCAATGTTCTAGTTAGGCAGTCCTAAGGAGTGTGAAGGAGAATGATGAAGCAGACTTAGGTAGCCAGAAGAAAACCAGCATAGAAATATGTATGTGAAGGGGCACCTGGGTGGCTCAGTCAGTTAAGCATCTGACTGTTGATTTCAGCTCCGATCGTGATCTCAGGGTCCTGAGATGGAGCCTCACATGGGGCTCCCTGCTCAGCTGGGATTCTGTGGCTCTTCCTCTGCCCCTCTCCCCACTCAGGCGTGCTCATGCTCTCAGGAGATCATGACCTGAACCCAAGGCAGGGGCTTAACTGACTCAGCAACCCGGGTGCCCCTAATTAGGTAAATCAAGAGAAAGAAGAAAAAAGGAAGGAAAGAGGGAAAGACTGCAGTCTCTGGGGCCGAAGAGAGGGATGGAAGCAGAAAACAGAGAAGGAAGAAAACAAACAAGAATCTAGATGATTTAGTCCAGAGATAATTTTAAGGGTAAGTCATTAATTCCAATTAGCTGTTCAAACAGGTCTCTTGAGCTAGCCTGTAATGCCCCAGGAGGATTGGGTGGCCTCCCCTGGTGCCTGACACCCAGTGAGTGGCCAGGGATTATTAATTGGAGGAAAGGAAGGAAAGGGTGTGATTGACGGCAGTTGAGGGGGCGGGGCCGTTGTGGATGGCCGTGGGGAAGGGTGGGGGAATAAGGAGCTGGCTTTCATCTGAGATAGGTTAAGTTTGAGGCAAGGCTGTCTGTGTGTTCTTTCTATGCCAGAGGCCAATTAGATTTATGCAGTCACAACACACTTGGTAGACAAATGGCTAAAGATTACCCGTATTTTATAATTCTTAAAATGTAGATAAGTTCAGGGACTAGATTACATCCAACTTTGTACATGCACACTCAGTCTCTTACACTCTTTCTCTCTCTCTCTCACACACACCACACACCCACACACTGTGTTAGCATGATCCTAAGGAAAATAAGCAGTCCATAAATAAGCTGTATTTAATGTATGGATCTCCACAGAAGGTACCAAGTAACTGAAGAGCCAAGCCTAAGAATGGCTTCAGTCAGACATGGTTCGCTGGCTTGTTTAAGCATGGTTCCCTACGCCTCTGTGGGCGCCAGCTCTGGCTCCGAGCAGAGATTTATGTATATCTTTGTTTATTTCCTACCTATTCTTTTGACCTGATAAGGACACTTAAGAAAAAGGAGAGCTTGAAATAAGTGGGGGAGTTTAGAACCAAGTTAGACCATTGCCCTTGTAAACTCCCTCCCTCCACCTTAATGAATTCCTTTTTTAACTGTTTGAACCTCTCATGAGAAACCTCAGATCTAGCAGTTATCTTGTAGACTTTAAAAAAAAAAATGGGCTCATATTTTGCTGTGTTTCTGAGTTGTCTATAGAAAGAGAAAGCTGGCAAAGGAGTTCTATAGCAAGGGAGATGAAGGTCTGCGGCTCTTTCCCCACAAACGCCTTAAATTACTACCAAGTGGTTGGAATTGGTTGAAGGTGGTCGGGTAAGTGTTTGGTGTGTGTCATGCTCGAGGACACAGGTCCTTGCCATGTCCTTCTATGTTTTTGGGCTTCAGAATTAGCCTTGGCCTGTGAACTTGTTTTTCTGAAGCCCTTCTACAAATCAAGGGTTCACGTAATTCAAAGCCCTTTATTCCTTGTAGTAAATTCCTAGTTGTGATGGTCATGTTTGTCTCCCCCTTGAGCCTCCCACGAATCAGGATAGAAGTGGGCCTACATGACAGTTATGGGAGCGGCTAAGGGCCAGACACCGCAACAGGAGCTTTAGGTGATCTCTCATCATTAACAGTGAACCAGATACGTTTTACAGATGCAGAAACTGAGGCTGAGGGGCTAAGTTTCAGGCTACGTCACAGTAGGATGGGAGGAGCTGGGACGTGACCCCAGCAGCATTACTTGGGGGAGCACACCGTGTCCTGCGCCGGACTGCCCGTGGCTGAAGGACTCCTCCTCCTTGTTCCCATTTTGCAGCTGAGCAGGTGGAGACTCTGAGGGATTCTCGGTGGTTTGCTCAGCTTCTACCAGTGCGAAAGTGTTCGAGCAAGTACTAGATCCCAGGGCTGTGACTCCTAGAGCTTTTTCTGATACAAGGCAACAGTCCGTATTTCTTCAGGGTAAGATTAGACCTAATTACTCCGTTTGGAGCGGTGACCTGAAGTTAAGCAGGGGGACCCCTATCCACCAGGATTAGTGTCTCCCTAAAAGTCCTTTAAAGAAGAGGAGGGGATGAATGAAGCATTTCAGGAGCTGCTGAGGCAGGTTCCTGGTCTGACCTCCCGTATTGCCGGACACATTAAACCTTGAGGCTTCATGCTTGTCCCTAAGAGTCTATGTGTGATTTGGGGGTGCTCTTGTTGGGCAAGAGCCCCTGAGAACCAGGTCTCCCTGGTGCTGAGGACAATGGTCTGCTCTCATTCCGGGCGTCATGGCAGCTGTCCAAGGCACATCTGCAGCAGAAAGGAAGGTGAGGGAGAGGCTGTCAGCTCGGGGCGGGGTGGGGGGGTGCTTGTCTCATCATCAAGGATGAGTGTGTTTCCTCCTGACGGGGAGCTTTTCTCTCCCACCCTCATGCTTTCTCAGAGACCGTGGAGCAACTTGGCAGGCCAGAATGTGGAGAGGACAAAAGGTTGTCACCGGCACCTTCATAACGAAACCGGTCTCTTCCGTGGCTCTCCCACCTCTCCTTCACCCACCTCAGATCGTTCCCCAGTAGATTGATTTACAAAGGTATTTTCTTCACAGTACCCCTGGCACCGGGTCTGTCCCTGACATGGCCCAGTCCTCACCTTCCTTGCCTGGTGTCGTCAGTCCTGGTGCTGGAATCCCGGCCTTGCCTCATGGCGAGCCGGCGCCCCTCCTCCCCGGCCCTTTGTGTGGAGCTGCTGTTGCGTGCTGCTCGCTCGCTGGCGGTGTGAGCTCTGTCCCGACCTGCAGCCCTCTGAGCCATCTTGGGCTGTAATTTGCTGGCAAGCGTCTCTGTTACTGAGTTGAAACAGCAGTTTCTCACAGCTGCCTTTGTGGCACCGGGTCCCGGCTCTGGGGCCTGCTGGTGATTTAGCTTTCTCATGGGGGTTCAGTGTTCGTCGTGCGCTGTGTCCAGGCCCATGGGAGGCAGGGGGTGGCGGGCAAGCCCGGGGCCCAGAAGGACATTCGTGTGGGAGGGGGCTCTGGCTACACCCCTGGAGTCCAGCCAGATTCTCCAGCAGCTGTTCCTCGCCTGATGGGATTTGTAGAGAGAGCGAGGGC